GCGAGATCATGACCTAAGCGAAAGTCGGAAGCTTAACCGACTAAGCCACCCAGGCGCCCCCAAAAAAAGTTTTTTAATCATGAAATCTGTTTTATCCCCTCTGCAGTAAAGATGATCTCTTCTTCTTCTTTTTTTTAATGTTTTATTTATTTCTGAGAGAGAGGGAGAGACAGCGTGAGTAGGGGAGGGTCAGAGAGAGAGGTCGACACAGAATCTGAAACAGGCTCCAGGCTCTGAGCTGTCAGCACAGAGCCTGATGCGGGGCTCAAACCCACGAACCATGAGATCATGAGCTGAAGTCGGACGCTAACCGACTGAGCCACCCAGGTGCCCCAAAAGACGATCTCTTCAAATGTAATATGTTGTAGAAGAAAATCATTCTGAAGCTCAGTCTCGTTCTTTGTTGATGTAGGATATATTCCTTCTAAGTGTGACTGAGAATCGTGACTTGTTTTACAGAGAACTTAATACTTCCTTCTTGACAGAGTAACCAAATAACAACATAATTATTTTTGGAAGTAAGTGGGAACAGAAGCCATGGTTCTCACTAGGTTTTAGAATTCTAATGTGTTTCATGGATTAAGTAAATATAATCCATAATGATAAATGCCATTAAAAATCAACAAATTAAAATTTCTTTTTATAAGTTACTTTTGAGAAAGATGTCTTGTTAGGAAATTTCTAGTGCATAATAAAAACCAACTCTCCACAGAGTCATTGAAAAATGTAATCATAATAGATTGTTTTTTTCTCTGTGGGGAATGCATTGAATGAAAAGCTCATACAGAAGAATTAAAGTATGAGAATTCAAAAACATTGTTTTTGGAAAAAAGAAAGGAGACTGTAGATGACCTTGACCTACCAGATATTTAAGCTTAGTATTAATTGACTGTAATCACTATGGTAAAGTATGGCACAGGAAAACACCAGTAGCACAGTGGCATAAAAAAGAGAGTTCAGAACAGAATCCAGAAAGATACTATATAAGATAACTTAATATTTCAGCTCACTGAAATACAGGTACCCTCCCTCCTACCATTAAAAATTCTAGTTGTAGATTCACATATTAAAAAAATCCCTCTAAAATATTACAAGAAGACTTTGATAAATATTTTTAATACTTCAGGATGGGGAAATCTCCAACTTCATTCCTCTAAAGGGGAAAACCCTGAAGCTATAAAGAAAAAAAAGATATATTTCTTTCATTAAAAGATCATCATCAACAACGAAACCTTCATGCAGTCAGAGACTACATAAACAAATTGATAATATAGGAGAAAACATTTCTAATATATTTTAAAAAGGATTAATATTCCATATTTATTCATTCAATATACCTTTATTAAACACATATACTTTATATATCAGACACTGCCCTCAGTTGTGGGGGATACTGAATTGAGCAAATTAGACTAAGTTTCCGGATTTCTTTCTATGCACTTTGACTTAAATGCTGGACTTAAACATTTAAAAAAATTGATTAAGAGACTATCCGATAGAAAAATGTCAGATGAGTAAATGAATATTACTAAAGATGAAGATGGCAACATACAAACAAAATTTAAGAGATACCATTTCTTGCATGCATATTGGCAGAAACAAGGATAGTAACATCTACTGATGGGCAAAGGTAACTCAGTATGCTCATACACTTTTGGTAAGACTCTGAATTGTTACATCTGATTTAAATATGCTGATACTCTCTAGAAATCCATTCTGTCCAAAATAAATAAAAACATTGGTCCTTTAGGTTTTTAAAATAAGAATATTTTGAAACAACAAACTGGAAGCATACATGCTGTCACTTAGAAAACAGTTAAGTAAATTATGGAACTCACTCATTCGTAAGAATGGGTTAGATCTATAGGTATTCACACAGAATGACATCCATGCTATATACAATGCAAAAACAAGTTGGCTAATGTCTACAATAAGATTGATCTTATATCTTTAAGAAGGAAGCAAGCAACAGCAGTTCTAATAACACACATACATAAACAAAGGAAAAATCTATATATGTATGTATATGTTTGATAGATATGTGGGGTTGGGGAGATACTGGGCAGGCGTACTGTATATACTTCTGCATTTAATTTGTTACAATGTATATTATTACTTAATTAAAATAAGTAGAGAAACTGCTCACCAGCATGAGTCAGTTAATAAGCATGTTTACTTCTGTTTTGAAATAGTGGATCCCATAACCCATATCTTCATTACATATATTACATAATGTATAAATTATACTGTGTATTAAGTTTAACTGATAATGATTATGATAATTCAATCAACACAAAATAATGTAAATCTTTTTTATTAACTCTTCCCACTCCCAGTATGCTTGATCTGGACTAACATGAAGGCTAGGTGTCAACAGAGAATAAAACAACAACAATGATTAAAAATATGTGGATATTGTTTAAAAGTATGTTTATATTTATAGCTATAGGTGCTCTAATGAAATGAGCACTTGAGAAGGAGACCACTCAACAGATTCCAGATTATATTCTGAGACTAAGTACTTGAGGGACATATGTCATTTTGCACATCTTCCTTGGGTCTTGATTTTGCCTCACTTTCTAGCCCTAGAATAGTTTGAGCCCCAAATTTGTTGTAAGGGACTATTCTGGGGCGCACCTGGGTGGCTCAGTCCACCTCTTAATTTTGGTTCAGGTCATGGTCCCAGGGTCCTGGGATTAAGCCCTGTGTTGGGCTCTGCCTGGAGGGTGGAGTCTGCGTAAGGTTTTCTCTGACTCCCTTTGCCCCTCTCCCCCACTCATGCTCTCTCTCTCTTCTAAGCAAACAAACAAACAAACAAAAAACAACTATAATTATTAGAAAAAGATTTTCTGATTTCACTGGGTGAAAAGTGAATATTCACTTTTGTGCAGTGATACAGAAAGAGAAAAGTGGGAGAAGGGACGATGGTTATGAAAGTACGACTGAGTTCTTAAGGCTTTTAGGAGGACTGGCAGGAAGCCTAGGATACTAAAAAGATGTGGTGTAATTATGTAGGAAGGATACCATATGTGAACATTTCATTTAATCTAGTGAAGGCTGATGAAGGGGTGGATGTCTAGATTTTTTTTTAACAGGAAAATATTTTGTAGGATTTTTAAACATGTTTTGACATCAGGACTATATCTTATACAGTGTTTTTCCACTTAGAACACCGTCTTAATGACAGACTTGATTTTCTTTTCTTCTCTCCATATAATGTTTTACACGTAATTAACAGTACATAGTTGCTGAATGATGTAAAATCATATTAGACAGAGCTCCAAGGAGTGAATTATGCATATTGGGCTCGGGTTTGCCAATATTTTTGATCATATGTTTCTCATTAATGTAAAAATCCATTAAATTCACATAATGGGACAACTTGCTGGTCATTTCTCCAGTAAATACTTATTGGATGAATAAAATACAGTTTTTTAAATATAAAATACAGTTTTAAAACTTATTTTTCTTTCAAGTGTGAAGATTGTAAGAAAAAAATCAAGTCTGTCATTAAGACGGTCTTCTAAGTGGAAAAACGCATTCATTGTCTTAAATACTTGAGGTGTAATAACCTTTAACAAACCCAGTTGTTTACTACAAGACTCTCTCCCTTTTTCTCCCCCAGTGGAATGAAACAGTCGAGCTTTTTCGCGCTAGGATGCCCTTACGGAAACATCGCTGCCGTTTCAAAAGTTACGAACGCTGCTTCACGGCGGCAGAAGCCGTGGATTGGCTGCATGAGCTGTTGAGATGCAATCAGAACTTTGGCCCCGAGGTGACCCGCAAGCAAACGGTCCAGCTGCTGAAAAAATTCCTCAAGAATCATGTTATTGAAGACATCAAGGGAAAATGGGGTCAGGAAGATTTTGAAGACAATCGTCACTTGTACAGGTAATGGCGACAAGTAAACCTTAAAGGGGAGAACGAGAAGCTCTGGTCTGTCTCTTGAAACTGCCTCATGTGAAAAAACATCTCTTGCCCACTTGAGTAATGCTTGCCCCTGTGATTTGTTGAGGAAAGACCTGAACGTGTTGTCACAATAAAGCCTATTGCCATGATCTTGGGTCTGTAGGGTGGCCTCTGGCCATGTTTTGTTGCAGTGAGCCTTCAGAAAGGACATCTTTTCTGCCTTTTGCACATTGTGAAGATGACCAGAGTAGCTCAGTGCTTCTAGAGAATATAACAGGGTGAAATAGTTCTGGGTTGGGCCTCTCTAGCAGTGAGAATGTACGTATTCAGGGGGTTAGCGGCACAGTGGGTCTGATCTTTAGGCAGATCTCAGAGCCTGTATGAAGCATTGTACTAGAATTCCCTCATGTATGTCTGCTTTTCCCCAAATGTTTTTGCTCATGTTTTAGTGCTGTTTTGTGATTGGACACCTACCACTCGATTGCCCTAAGAAAAAATGCATGTCTCTGGGCTCAGACTCTCCTTCTTACTACATGCTAGGTTATTTCTCTCCTGGAGGTGGAAGGGACCTACCTAAGCTTCAGGGACTGGGAGAATATTAAAGAGGAATGAAGCTGTACATGTCGTGAAAAAAGGAAGTGTTGAGTTATGGACAGGCCCACCAAAGGGCTGGGAACCTGAGAGGGATTCAAAGAAGAAATGGAGAGGGGTGCCTGGGTGGTTAAGTCAGTTAGCGTCCGACTTTGGCTCAGGTCGTGATCTCACGCTCCATGGGTTCGAGCCCTGCGTCGGGCTCTGTGCTGACAGCTAGTTCAGAGCCTGGAGCCTGTTTCGGATTCTGTGTCTCCCTCTCTCTCTGTACCTTCCCTGCGCACGCTGTCTCTCTCTCTCATAACTAAATAAATCAAACATTAAAAAATTTAAAAAAAAGAAGAAATGGAGAATATGGACCCTTAATACTTGCGTTCTTTTACTCCAAAAGAAAATTAGGCATGCTCTTACAATACATTTAGTAAGGGAGTTTGGGGCCCCTGGGACCCCTGACTTTGAGCAGAGAAACCCTGTCTGTTTCTTCCCTGAACCATTTCTTTGGCTCTTGTGGACTGGCTGCTGAGAGGAAGGTTGCAGAGCAGAGTGAGGGTGGCCACAAGCACCAAGGCTAAGACCACACACTGCTGCACATTTAGCATTGGACTTCTTTATGGAGTTTCATCGGCAGTCTCCAGCTTCTAGATATCGAGACTGTCATGGGGCATTTAGTTCTTTCTCCACGTGGCAGTTATTTCTGGCGTGCTCATCCAACTTTTAATTAGGATCTTGGGTGATTTGAGCTTATTCTGAGACCGTAAGTGCTTGGTAGCATCAAGTAGTGGAAACTCCAGCCCTGGTTCTGCATGCCATACTCCACTGGGGATTTGTAAGTGATCATTTCTCTTGGGAAACTGTAATTGCTTGTGCCCCGTCACAACTTAGGTAGAACACTTCTGAAAGATTCTCTGGATGAGTATCTTCCAATCTGTTCTTTTGTGACCTTACGTTGGGTAACGTCCATTGCGTCCCAGGAGGCTTTCAGGGTCCTCAGAAGAGTGAAATGGGAGTATGCTCTAGGAGGCGGCTACCCCGCGCCGTGAGAGCATGCTTCACGTCAGTGTGAAGACTTAATCAGGTGTTCTGCTTTAAAACATCGAGTGCACAGGCAGAGTACATTTGTCCACTAAAGAGTGATTTTCTCTTCACTTTCTCTAATACCTGTGAATCATAAAGGGAGCAGGATTTTCTTCACTTGTTTACCACCTGAAAACTCATAGCTTTCCATTTGCCCGAGTGGAAGTTCTCTAAGTTAACCACCGGTGTTTGCCAATTTCTCACATTAATCTGGGATGAAATATATTCAGACATGTAAAGCATTTGTTAAGGAGCACATGCCCTGAATTGAGAGTGAGCTAATGAGTGTGGCGGCAGCTGTTGCCCGCGTGCAGCTTCTGGGACCAGAGCTCCAGGGACCAGAGCTCCGTTCCTCACAGCTGTGTGTGCCAGGGCTCCAGGGAAGGGGAGGGAGGGGGCTGGGGGGGGCGGGGCGCGGCTGCCCTGCCTGCTCTGCTTACACCTGCTTTCCTTGTAGAGTAATGGAATGCCAGATTGTAATGGAAGCGGAGGAGGGAGATGGGGAGCCAGAGGTGGGTTAGATTTGAAAGTAGATGGAGAGTCAGTAAGGTGAAGAAATTCCAGAACACGCTTCTAAATATCAAGCTTTAATGGATGGGAGGGGCCTTTCTAAGTAGTATCATGGAAGCTAGAGCTGACACCCAAGGACTCTTGCTGGCAAGTAAGGAGCTAAGGTACTCAAGCATGGATGATGGGCTGACTTGTCACATTATTGTCATTAAATTCAATAGTATCCAAATTTTAAAGATTAGAAAGTTAATAAGGCCAAAGTTAGTAACTTCTGCAGCATCACTCAGCTGGTAGTAGAAGAGTTGGGATTTGAATTGAGGTGTTTGTGTCTGAAGCTTGTGTTCTTGTGGTATGCTGTGTTGCCTCCGTTTCCACAATGATAGGTTGGCTTAAGTTATTAAATAAATTAGTGGTTGGATCAGTAAACACACAGTAATAAATATGGTGCATTTGGTGTGGCCAGCATGTATTTATATATTTATAGAATCTGTCTTCAAGAAGTTATCAAAGGATGACTGGGTGGCTCAGTTGGTTAAGCATCTGACTTTGGCTCAGTCATGATCTTACGGTTTATGAGTTTGAGCCCAGCATTGGATTCTCTGCTGTCAGCGTAGAGCCTGCTTTGGATCCTCTGTCTCCCTCTCTCGGCCCCTCCTCTGCTCAAGTGCTCTCTCAAAAATAAATAAACATTGCAAGAAAGAAAAGAAGTTGTCAAATAAAGGAAGTAAGGTAAACATAATCAACCTAAGCACTTACAAATATAGCAGAAGGTGGGTGGTTTCTTGGGTTTGTGAGTTAGAGAAAGCTATGTGAAATACCAAAGGCTCTTACAGCATTTTTTTTTGAAGAGAGAAAATACACACACACACACACACACACACACACACACACACACACAGAGGATATGTGGGAGAATTTTGTAACAGAAATTATTAGTTAAGCTTTTATTTTGGAATGTGTCAAATCTTATTTCTAGTTTTAAAAGACTGGTGTCTTATTTCTTCTGTGACTATAGTTACATTTATTAACCATGGTTTTTTTTTTTCTCAAGAATCAAATACATAAGTATAGAAAATAGAAGGAAATAGTGAATTTTAGTGTGTGAGGAAGGAAAGCAAGATCCCAATATCTGAAAGTTCATTGTTGTCAAAGACGTTGCAGAGAACTGCCCAGAGCTAGTTACCAAACCACATCTTTCTTGTTACTAATGCCAGTATCCGGAAAGAGTTCTGAATTTGCTGCTACTGAAGACCATTTTAGATTTCATGAAAGGGTCTACGTAGTTGAGCCAGATGCTGTCATCTCTGTCTGACAAAGTTTCCTGGTCCTGTACCAGGAGAGGAGAGGCAGTGATATATATTTGTATGAGAAATTTCAGTTTATGAAGCAGTTTCCCTTCCATAATCCTCTTTGATCTTCATGGCAACCCTGGAAAGTGGACAGGGTGGATTTTTATCCAAAGAGAACCAAAGATGTTTCTCTTTGAAATCTCTAAACCAAACACCAGGAATGATCTAGTTAAGGAAATTCCATGCTGATCATCGAATGTGTCCATTTATTTATGTGAACAGGTAGTTATATAGGAGTATTTAAACCTAATGTAATGAGTCGTATAAAAATTGAAGCGGGTATTATAATTGCTTGTTTTGGATGATCTAATGTTGTTTGTCCTCGTGTAGATTTTTAGGAGGATGAGGTTTGTGGTTTGGTGAGCTACCTGGCCCTTGACCCATTCTCATTACTGAGGCTAGCTCTGGTGGATAGTGTAACTGGAAATGTGTTTGCTGTTCACAGATAGGAATTTACTGGCTGACCTTCAGTGGTTGAGATCTGATGTGTAGGGAACCACTTTTTTTTTTTTTTTAATTTTCCCACCTCTCCTGTCCCTTTTTTCTCTTTTTTTCTTTCTTTGTTTCTACCTCTTCATATGCCTCATTCACATTCCCACTTCTCTTTATTTCCCTTTTTCTTTCTGCTCCCTTTCCTTCATATTTGCTTTTCCCCCCGTCCTGTTTCCAAAATACTGATTTTAATTTGAAAATAGAATTTGTTAGGTAGATATTGCCAGCTCTATTGAATAATGTTACTTTCACAGTCTTAATTTAAAAAGGCAAGAATAATGCTGCCCAGTTTTAAGACTTACTACCTGAAGTTAAAGTAATGAAGACTGTGGTATTATTGGTGAAGGACTGGATGCTTAGATTGGTGGCACAGAATTCGTGGTCCAGAATCACACACAAACTTGGCCACTTGATTTTTGACAGAAATGTAAAAGCAATTTAAAGGAAAAAGAGTAGTCTTTTAAGCAAATGGTGTTAGAACAATTGGTTATGTATTCTCTATATTCAAAAAAATGAACCTCAAATGTAAACTGCGTACTTTATGTGAAAGTTAAATCAAACTGAATCATAGATTTATTTATTTAAAAAAATTTTTTTTACATTTATTTATTTTTGAGAGACAGGATGAGACAGAGCTCAAGTTGGGGAGGGGCAGAGAGAGAAGGAGAAATAGATTCTGAAGCAGGCTCTAGGTTCCAAGCTCTCAGCACAGAGCCTAACGCAGGGCTTGAACTCAAAAACTGTGAGATCATGACCTGAGCTGAGTCGGACTCCTAACCGACTGAGCCACTCAGGTGCCCCAGATTTAAATGTAAAACTATAAAAAATTTAGAGAAACCAGAGGAGATCTTTATGCCTTGGGGTTAGGCAAAGAGTTCTTAGACATGACACTAAAATCATGATTCACAAAAGAAAAAAAAGATAAAATGGACTTCATCAAAATTAAAAACTTTTGCTCTGTACAAG